TCCCAGTAAGATCCACCCTTCCTTCCTGCCTGTCCTCTTCAGTGCCAAGCTCCCCAGGTCGGTCTTGAGAGCTTCGACACCGTTGCGGGCAGAGTCAGGCAACAGCCAGGAGCAGAGAGACCACAGGCCTTTCAGGGCTTCGTCAGCTGCTCAGACCGCGAGGCCCAGCATCAGAGGCTGTTAGACGTGACACTTCCGAGGCAAATTGAAACTCATGATCGTCACCCGACCAGAGATACGGCACAAAGAAACATCCTCATTCACGGCCTCAAAGGAAACAGGCAGGTTCGTTCTTCCTGTCTGCATTCTCAGACCACCCCTCCACCCCCCCCCCTCCCTCCTGGGGGATGGGCACACGGCTTTGTGGTGTCATTGCATGACTTGAAAGATGACAGGAAACAAAAGACTCTGTGTCCAACATTAAGGAAGAAAAAAAAACAGGCATAAAGCACGATGCAGAATTGACTGCTGAAAGGGAAATATTTGAAAACTTTTCTGAGTCACCATTCCCCAATCTCCAGTGCTGCCTCGGCTGTAAACATGTCAGTATCAGGGTGGGTTTTTCTTCTTTTGTTTGCGTTTACGTCCTGCCAAGACGGGACACAGAGGCCAACGCCATGATCAAGCACAGGCGCGGCCCACTGGAAAGCACCCTGGGTGACTACCTACCGAATTGACCCACCGTGTCCCCACCGATGGCAGCTTCCAGCTGCATGTGGAGTCACTCTCCTCCGGCAGGAACGATTAGCGGACCCTGGGGGGCACCTCACCTGATGCCGGCCGCAAAGCGAGGATGCGTGATGTAGCCGATTCAGCCGTTTCCTTGGCGAGCCGACAGTTACCCCCTCAGGAGTGATCAGGAGTAAACATCATTCTAAATGAGTTGTCCTACTAGTGCAACCCCGCGCCCCCTTTGAAATTTTACACTGTGGTGCTAGAGTGCACTCAGCTAAATATGGACCCAATGTGATCGGTCCCAGGTGCCACTACCAGCATGTCCCCCCCCCCTTCCCGGAGCAGATACCAGCAGAGCCCCCAACTGCATGATACAAACTCAGCATTAAAACCAAAGCAGACCACCTCAGAACAGATAGCCCCAGGATGCTTAACAAAGCGTTCATGGTAATGTGACCCACACCTAGTATTCACATGACGCGACCCACAATGCACCTGGGCCAAACAGCACCAAGCAGCACAAGTCAAATGGACTTATGCTCCTCAGATTAAGAAACAATATTGCCAGTTTGTCAACCTCTATTAGGTCACTTCCCTATCCCTGTTGTTCTGGGTTTATTTTTCTTTTTTTAAAACTTACAATTTCTTATAGCCTAATCACTATAAATGAACGCTATAAATTCAAAATGTTTTTACCTTCAGTTATGTAGAACAGTAACTGTTTTCCATAACTGTGGTTTCCTCATGGGGGGGGGGGGGAGGGTGTCAGCAATGAACCAGCAGTTTGTCACAGGAAAAAAGAAATCCCTCCCCCTCCCCCTCCCATTTTGTGTTCGTTACGTCTGATGTGTGCATGAAACAGGGAGCCCAGCCCCCAGGGGTGGAGCGGCAGAGCCAGATGAATGCATAAAGTAGCAGAATGTGACATACATTTGAGTGTGTGTGATGATGAAATAATGTAAGTCAGACTGGTTCACCGGGTGGGGTGAAGTGTGTAGCTGGATGTGCTGCACAGCCACACAGTATTTCCTTTCCACACTCAGCCATAAACAAACAAAACACAGAAATATGGGTATGGCAACCTTTTTTTACTTTTTTTACTCTATGAGTAAGTGTCTAAGCCAATGCCAATCATGTCACGTGAGCAAGGAACCATGACAAAGCTTCTGCAACCATAGCCCCAGTTACTCCCAAACACTCTTTGCGGTTTACATCCGGGCTCTCCGGGGTTCCTCCTGTCTCCCTGCCAAAAACCACCAGCCGAGCGACGGGACGATACCCCCAGCTCTGTGTGGCCGCGTGATCAACGTGAACCTGTTAAGTCTCGCCCCTTAAAACGCAAAGCCATGAACACACTTTGGTACAGGCACGCATTGGCCTGGTTTCAGATTCGGAACACGACTCAGAGTTTGTCAGCCGGTCGGCACGGTTACGGAGGTCACGTGACCAAAAGCGGCAGCCATGCTAGCTCTGTGCCCTTGGGCACTTCCTGTCAGAGCCGTATTCCTTCCCGTTGCTCCTGCACTCACTTGGCTGTTACAGCGGGTTTCTGCTCCCAGTCCATCTTCCACAACAAATAGTCACTACAGACCAGGACAGGCAGCCATGCTTGATATACACGTACCTCAATGCTCTGCCATTAGCCTATCGGTAGGTAGACGGGCTAGACCCCCCCACTAGTTACCAGTTAGCAGTGTACCTACCCTTTATAGACAGCTTTATAGTCTTCCTGACACGATGCGTCAGCCTCTGGTGCAGAATGCACAAACATTATGCGAGTGTCGACCTGAAAAGAACAGCGATACTTTATTCATGCCCGAGGAAAACTTGTCTCGAGACATACAGCCAAGATCAAGCAGCACCCTTGGAGCTGGGGATTAAAGGCCTTATTCAACAGCCCAAAGATGGTACCAGTCTGCTGGTCCTGGGACTGCCCCAGAGGGTGGTCCTAAAAAGGTGAAGGCTGGTTCCAAGACCCCACAATTCCAACAACAAACCAGGAAGCACATGCACTCACAGATGAGTCATAGCTCAGGATCTTGCTGCAAACAGCAGATAAGAATGTTAACCCACAGTGTCTGCTCCCACCTACACGCAGAGATCCATCTCGTGACCCAGGCTCAGTTCGGAGTTGTGTCTGAACAAATCCACCAAGGCCCAGGCCTGACAGGCCCAGGCAGTCGACTACATGATATGACAAAAACGTCGGGAATGTGGGGACATTCCCAACACACAGCCACCGCCCAGCCCCAGGCTACAAAACCCCAACACTGGAAAGTCTCTCCCATCATTTTTTCCCAAGATATGCTCAGATCTGATGGCCACAGTTTACATTTAAATCAAAATGAAAGTGTTACACTTTCATTTCTATAGACTCCATCAGTTTCAACATCAGCCACCCACAGATAAGCATGTCTGACACAGGGCATACAGTTCAATGCACAATGGAAAGTCAGTGCATAACAGATAGAAGCGCTGGGGATACTATGAAATATACCGGCACAAAACCCTCCCCTGGGGCCACAGGCATCCCACAGCCTGTCCTGCGGAGGCTGTCCCGTGCCAGCGATCGGCACTCCAGCGTTCCTTCATCCGATAACATCGAAACAGACTGTGTCCAAGAAGAGAGAGGGGAAAAAAAAACAGTTCTGTTTGCCAAGAGCATGTATGAGCTCCTTTGAAACCGTAGCCAACAACTGAAAGAGAATGAGCAGGGTCAGTGGGAATCACAGAGCGGAGAAAGCCGTGGGGGGGTCCAAGAGAGGCCCCCGGCTGACTCGATGCCAGGCTCTTCCCACCCCACTGTGCCGAACCCCACCCACCACTGGGGACTGAATCTGTGATTGGAATGATTATAAAACAGATCACCACCCACGTCCATGCTGGTGTGGCGGCTTCCGTCTCTTTCACAGGCACGGGCGTCTGCAGAAGCGCCGTGTCGCACCTCTTCCCGATGTGTCATTAGTGGGACTCTCTAACTGTTCCCATCTTCTTACCGACCAGCTCCGAACATCGCGGAGAAAGAGGCAGGAGCACAGATGCTTGCAGAAGCCTGACTGAACAGCAACACGGAGATAAGTCAGGCAATAACTGGTAATAATCACACCTGCACACACACCACAGTGGCAGCTGAAGGGATCAGGAGACAGAACAAGAGAGACAATACCAGAGCCAACAGGGGGGCCCCTTGCCCAGGGCAGCTGACAAATGAGGGAACTGGAAGCAGCCTGTCAGAGAAACAGGAACCATCACAAAACGGTGCGTCACATCTGCGGCTTACATCACATAGTTGCCCAAAAGATGTTAAGCAACAGACTAATGCTTTCCGTACCCTGTAGGTCAAGCTAGAAGCTCCTGGTGTTCATATTTAGGAGCAGAGTGCAGAAGACTCAAAACATGGTCCAACCCAAGGGCATGAAAATCCCATAATCCCCATACAAAACAAACCTTTTGACAGCACAGATCTCAGGCAGCAAAACACCCCCACCAGCAGGGGGCAGCGGCAGTACTGCCTGTCGGCGAGTGGGGGGCCGCATTCTCATTATGCAGATTTATTCATGCCCAGTTATGTGTTGGAGCATGCAGCAGCAGCATCCTGAGCAATGATTCAGAGCCCGTATCTACAAACAGCCAGGACGTTGTTCCAGAGCACAGAGGAATTTCCAGTGCCCAGAGGGAGACAGATTCCTCAGCACCGGGCTCTTAAAGAGACACGACGTCAGCGGCTCACATTCCAAAATCACGACACAGCGGACCGACTCCTGATCCAGTCATTTCTCCTGAAACCTTTATGTCTCGGACACCTCTTGGCTTTCCATAATTATACAGCTGGTCATCTTTTTGAAGACCACAACACTGTGCCCCACCAATAATCTGAACCACTGATCCAGGTCAGCCACATGCCACACTGACCTTTGGGTTTGGGTTGACATGCCCTTCCTACTTCCAAAACACCAGTTCCAAGACCAGAATCAGCATGACTACCATAAAACCCACAGGAAAATGCCTCCCAGAACCACACCAGACCCAAGACTGTCACTCACCGTCAAGGAAACCCAGGACACCTACTCCAGACCTGGGTCCATAAGACAGTCATACGCTGTATCTGCTGTGATCTATATGCAGCAGCAATTGTTTCCGTAAATAAAAGCTTTTCAACCACTCATAACAAATATGGAAGTGCAGAGTTAGAAATATCATACAAATATCAACAGAAGCATCAAAGTCCTATACAGCAGGTCTTTCTGCAGGTCACGCCAGACACCACAATCCCAGTGAGGGTCCAACATCACAGACAATCACTAAATGAAGCAAGACCACCAGTGTTTTTTTTTTTAAAAATGCAATTTGTATTAAAAGTCTTAAAACAGACAAACAGCTGTTAAAACGCTGGTCTGAAATTAGAATTACAATCGGGTTAGAATTTCAATAATACACCATCCACATTTTTGTTAAAAACAAACATGACGAGGAAAAAAATCTTTGCTTCAACTGGCCGGGGAAATAGGCGTGGTTTGGTGAAGTCAGAGGGTTTCCAAGTACCTGTAAATCTAATTACAATTACAACCCGTCATAACCTGCATTTCAAAAACCAAAATTAACGAGGGAAAAATGCCTTGTATTAACAAAGAGCTATTTTGTCCTGTCTCCGACGTCCGTGAAATTAACGAAAGTGAAACAGTTAAGTACTTCGAGGATTGCCGTATGATGAGATTGGTGTAGGGGCTCCGAGATTGGCACTGGACGGGAGGCGGGTCTGAAAGGCACTGCATGCGGGCCGGTCCCGGTCGGCGTCCCCGCGTCGCTTCTCGGGTCCGGGTGGCACTCAAGCTGAAGCGGGTTTCACGGCTAACGCGCTGGGAAGATACACCCTCCTCTTCCGTCCTCCCACCCGAAACCGTATGCAGAAGTTTAACATTTTCATGGCATTTCTCAAAGTACCCACTTCGGTTCGGGCTGGAACAGGGATGCTCTATCCCGCCGCTCACGGGGTTCGGCGGACCGGACCGTCCCGATCCGGCCCCCTTCCCCTTTAAAAGATCCCTCGACCCGTCCCAGGCCGGAGGGTGCGGCGCAGGACCCAACCGAACCCCCCTTTGCAATACACTTTCAAAAATAATTATACAACTAAAAGAACCTGATGAAATTAAAATATAACAGCGGCAACACGGGCCGCGCTGCCCCGGGCGACACAACGCGGGCGTCCGCCGAAACTCGTCTTATTTCCCAAATTCCAGGACATTCAAGTATTCAGCGTGTAAACAGCGGGATTGTGGGCTGCGCGTCCCCCCGCCGAAGTGTGCAGGGGCGACGGGACGCCCTCCGACGCCCACGGCGCCGTCTCCCTTCTGAGTCCGGCGAGCCCCTCCGTCTCCGCCGCCAACTTTACCGGCGTTTACAGGAGGACGCAGGCAGCGCAGCAGCGGTCGTCGCCGTTGGGCGTCGAGGCGTAGTTCATCTGCCGAACGATCTCGGCGAACAGCTCGTCGACCGAGCCCTTGTTCTTGGCCGAGGTCTCCATGAAGGGGCAGTTCCACTCGTCCGCCAGTGCTTTGCCTTCGCCCGCCGAGACTTCCCTCTCGCCCTCCAGATCCACCTTGTTCCCCACCAGGATCATGGGCACCCGCTCGTACCTCTTCACCCGTATGATCTGATCCCGCATGGGCTTGATGTCCTGGAAGCTCTGCTGGTTCACCAGGCTGTAGACCAGGATGAAGCCCTGGCCGTTCTTGATATACAGGTCTCGCATGGAGGCGAACTGCTCCGTCCCCGCCGTGTCCAGGATTTCCAGCACGGAGGGCGATGAATCCACCTCGATCTCCTTCCTGTAGAAGTCTTCTATCGTGGGGTCGTATTTCTCGATGAAGGAGCCCGTCACGAACTGGACGGTGAGCGCCGATTTGCCGACTCCGCCGGAGCCCAGCACCACTACTTTGTACTCTCTCATGGCTCCTGCGGCAGCGCTGCGCGTCGCCCCGCTCCCCCGCTGAATGCGCTCTCCACCCGCCGGCTGCCGCTACCTTCTCAAACCGCCAGCAGCTCTGTCCCTCTGGCAGCCGCCTCCGACCCGGCTTTTCGGCTATGCGGGTTGATCTTGCGGGATCGCAGGTCAGGATGCGAGTGGAGCAGATCTCCGGTGTGCCCCCGCATTAGAAGTATGACATGCGCGGCCCCGCCGCTCCGCGTGCGGCGCGCTCTTCCTGCTTGTCTGCGCCGTGCCGCTTCCCGTTTTCTTAAAGGCGCAGGCGCCGGCTTTTCCCAGACTCCTCTGCGCCGCAGTAATGTGAGGGCCACGCCCTGCGCAGCTTGCGCCCCTGTCCGGCCGTGTGAGTCACTGCTTTGTCACCCGCCCCGAGCCGCTGGGTCTCTCACGTCGCCGATCGCGTTTATCACCCCGACGACATACAGACGTGATAAGCGACGTGCTAATCGAATCTGGCTCACTATTAGCAATTTAATTTAAAGTATAATCGAATCTAACTTAATCATTACAATCTACATTTACACATCTACAGATATGAATGCAACATATGACCCAACTGAGGTTTTTAAGACGAATAAATTTTAAATATATATTCGTAAGACCTAATTATAGAGCTGTGACAAAGGAATGCTTGAACACTTGCCATATGTTCATTTGTCTAGCTGTCAGAAGTTAAGATTTATATCATGCATCTAAAAAATGTATTTAACAGGGCTTCACTGAGAAGAAAATGTCATTTACGGCTAACATAATATGACCACTTGAAACAAATGCAGGTAGACCTACAAACCAAAGAGAAATTATAGTCCCATCGGTTTAGTCAAAAGTACAGAACGTCCAGGATCACTCAAATGAAAATTATGTTTGGTCTCTTAATGTGCAGCAATCTGATTCGGTATCAAAGTTTTCATTGAAATCTAAAACAGGTGCCAGAGTTTAGTCTATGGAGGGTGGTAGGTGGGCAGGTAGACTGATTAAAACAATGGAGTTATGATGAGGATGTGCTGATGGACTTTATGGTTAGTAAAACATTCACTTTGTATGTTATAATTCTCTCTGTCGATCACTGGATGACAATAAAGCCAGTAAAGTGAAAGCTGACTCATTTCCTCTCGGAAGGACAGCCGCTGGTTAACAGGTTATGCGTACGGGCCTGTGTGCGCTTCCTGTGTGGTACGCTATTAGACAACAAGAGAACACCGAAAGATTCATGCTTCTCACGCAGGTGAGGAGATTACGCAATGCACACCTGACTTGTATCAACCAGGAAGCCAACCAAAGAATTTTTTGTGAGCTGGGGGCTCAGCTGTTCCTTCATTATAAATGACGGCATCACCTTATTACCCTGTCATAAATGACACATTATGGAAAATCCTAGTTTGTTGTTTCTGTTTTCAGCGTGGCCTGGGGCAAACGGGTGGATGCACACGTATCCATGCAGACAACCAGCTGCATAAGGAACAAACTTCCTATTTCACATCAGAGTGTGTTTTAAAGAGCAGTGTTACAATAACAGATGCACACTGGGTGAAATCCACTGTGTCATAGAGGTTCATCGAGTGGTTTCTACTGAAATGAGAAAACTTCCCATTAAATGAGCACATGGGGTTTCAGCGTCCAGGCTGCTGAACAATCGGAAATTACTCACTTACCTGCTCATCTGAATCGGAGTGTTGGAAACATGCATTTTAAAAGCATCCATTAGATTTAGATGCAAGACAGAAGAAGGACACTGCGTCCAGGTAGTCACTGCTTCTGTAATATCAGGATTGTATTTGTAAGATATTAGGGTGAATATCACAGCAATAATATCACAGCAATGTGGTTTACATCATAGGAAACTGAGAACAGAGGACTGGAGATAGATAGTGCTCGTCCCATGAGAGGGAAAACTTCACACCCGGCCTGGCCTGGAATAATCCACTCTCAGCCATTGAAAGACCTTTGCTTTCATTTAACTGTGATGTAATGAATGGCCAGTCGCCCCCCCCTTGCTGACCGGCTCGCGAATGTCACACTCACACCATTCCGAAGGCCTGCCTTGCGAATTGAATAGCGGATAGGCCGCTCTGGAAAGCAACCCTGGGTCTTTGATTGGAAAAGGAATGTCACACGTTGGTGGGGGGGGATTTTGGAGGGGCCCGCACCCAGCATGTCCCTTGAACCTGGGGGCTTCACTAGAAGGGTGCAAATGGCACACAATAAGCCCTTTTCAACACTCAATTTGCTACATCTTCTCACAAGCAGATCATGTGAGTGGTCTGAAACTTTACTTAATACCCTTCCCACCCCACCCCTGTGTTGCCAAGAGAGTCTGCTGGCCTTGCCAGGACACGCAGGCCCTTTTTATGGTGACCTTACTGAAACACCAGCATAAACTTTCACCGTGTGGCAGGACAGTGGCTTCATGCTGCGGCCTTTGACTCGTTTCCACTGCAATACAGTTACCCACTGTAAGCTGGTTGGAGATTTCAATCAGTAGGTGTGGAAATGGGGTGTAATTGTGATGCGTGAAAAGATCTAAGCTCAGCAGACCAAACTTTCTTTGTTTGTCGGTGTTGTTTTTAGGAAACACTGAAAATCACTTTTTTTGAGACCCACATTTTAGTTTCGTAAAGACTCCAAGAAAGTGTTTCGTCCACTGTAAGATTTGGGCCCTTGGATTCACATGTGCAATTCAGGAACACAAATCCAGTAATTCTGTGCTTCTGGGCACAGAACCAAAAACCCACACAGTTAAAAATGTCTTTGGATCTTTTTACTGTCTGATTATAATCTCGTCAAGCTAATCTCTCCTGTGGTTTTTACCTAAATAATATGAGATCCAGGCTTCCTGTAGTTTTTCTTCTTATTGGACGCTGCAAGATCTTTTCATGGTGCTCTGAGGATAAACATTTGCTCCTGAAAAATTAGCCAAAAATTATGGGGAATATGTATCATCGCTGACACTTGCAAATTGAACTGGGGCCCTGAATCATATCTGTGTTAACTGAAGAAGCCATTCCTCAGTGCTGATAATGGAAGGTAGAGCCAAGGGACTCTGTAATTACCATGTCTGTGAGGTAACAGCACATTCATTATGGCACAGAGAGCTTCTTCAGGCTCAGTCCTTGGGGAGAAGCTCTCCAAAGACATGCTGGGAAATACTGCAGCATCTAGTCTATGTTATACGGTAATTTGCAGTAGGGTCTCAGTTATGAATATACAGCCTATTCTCGATTAGATTCTTTGCGTGTTATTTTAAAGTCGCACAAATAGCTGAGCTAGATTTCACTGGCGGCAGGGTGAGCCTAATAAAGAACACAAAAATATGTACATGACCCCACAAACCTGTACGGGGTAACTGGCAGGAAGATGGATGAGTAAGTTTATTAATGAAAGGTAAGAAAAAATAAAGAACGCAGAGCACTTACATTCTTTATGTGATATACATTGATATCCTGAAGTTTTTCCAGGAAGTTTGTGGATATTATGTTGTTTTGGGGGTGTCGATGATTCACTTTTTAAGAACATTTGACATTCCAATAAATGAGCACATCTGTTTTAAACATCCAGGCTTCTGAACAATATAACTTCTTTATACTGTGGATGGAAATGACTTATTTTACCTACTCATCCCCATCAGGGTGGAGGGAACATGCGTAGCCCCTAGCGGTCATGGGTCATGTTTTACAGCTGCTCCTTATGTTTGCAGGCGAGAAAGGAGAAGGACAGTGTGTCCACAAGGTCAAAGGGGGGGCATGTTTCCCAGTAACGTGCTAATGACACACGCTGCCGTTCCGGTGCTGTTCTCAGACTGGCTGTCGTTAGCAGGTGGGACTGAGAGTAAACATCTGGAGTTGTGAATGAGAGTTAACATCTGGCCTAGCTTCTGATTTTTTTTCTGGACCCAGTGGTAGAAGGAAAGGACGTAGAGAAGATGGGAGTTTCTGTGGAAGCCTTCTGCTGGGACCTCGAACAGTTGTAACTGCTTTTCGTTTTCAGTTCAACTGCTGCCAAGTCTGGGGGAAATTTATCTAACTGAAAACTTAGGTTTCTCTTTTTGATTACTCATTGGTAGTTGGACACCATGCTGGACCCAGTACTGGACACTATTATGGACTGTATTGGGCTGAGGGGTTAACACTGTTAATTTCCTCTTGAATCCAGTTTTAATTTTGCATTTCTCAGAAAACTGTACTGATTATACCATGAGTTCCACCGCCTACCCCCACACCAGTTTCAAGGAGCCTGTAAAACAGTGTTTCACGCCAGAAACATCTCGCTTTCTGTCATCACTCCTTCTCTCCCTCCCACACAGACAGACACGCTCTAAGTCTATACCCCAAGATGGAGAATCTCACATTTACATACATATACACTCATTCACATCATTATACCAGTGCTTTCAAAAAGAAACACCACTATATTTGAACTTTAAAAAATATAAACTGATGTGAGTTCAGATTAAACTGTATGAATTCTAAGGACTTCTTTTAGCAATATCATCTCTCACTGTTAAGGGAAATATACTCATAGATCTTGGTGACAATTATTGGATTATGGGGCCCTCTTGTGGTAGTTTTCCATTATGACATTCTATTATAACCATTTCATGACGTATGGGGTCAAAATGTCCCCATAATACTATTTAGTGACTAATGACAGTTTTTTTGTGTGATTTTACTATGAAATAGCATTATATGGGGGTAGAATTGTGGCCGCACTTCTCTAGAGTTGGGAGGTTGAATCCCACCTCTGCTGTGTGTGTGTGTGTGTGTGTGTGTGTGGGGGGGGGGGGGGGTTGCATGTCCTCCTTTCGTCATGCAGGTATCCTCCTGCAGTCTAAGGGCACGCGATTAGGCTAATCGATATCTCTATCTCTAAATGGCCCCTAGTGTGCAGGGAGTGGCATCCTATCCAGGGTGAATCCCAGTATGACATATAGGGAGTGGCATCCTATCCAGGGTGAATCCCAGTATGACATATACCCCTAAATGCCCCTAAAACAATCATAATTTAATGCTCGCTCCTTACATATGCACCATGCACGTTTCCTGATCAATGTCCCACATCTCTGGTTTTTCTTTTTGTCTTGTCTTTTTCAATACAACTTTCTGTTCCTCATTTACATATTTATCATAATTATTATTAATTAAATTCAATTCAATTCAATTTTATTTATATTTATTTATATTTATATTATTAAATAGTTATCTTATGTTTTATTCTTCTATTGATACTACTGTTCTTTTGTTATGGTGAAACTGGTCACTTTTCATTTCACTG